TATCAAACCTGTGCAGCTAATCCAGAATGCAGCAAATAGAGTAGTCTTGAACAAGCTGAAAAAAGCATGTGTCATCTCTTCTCATCTCTCTGCACTGGCTTCCAGTTGTGGCTCTCATCAAGTTCAAAACATTGGTGCTTGCCTACAGAGCTGCCACGAGCGCCGCACCTTCCTACCTCTGGTTGCTCTTACGAGTCTACACCTAACTTCATCCTTACAGCTGAATCCCTCACAAGTTTAAAGAAACAAAATCTCTTCCGTGATCATCAAACAGAGAAAAAAATCAATTTCTTTCACCTTTTCTATGCTTCTATGCTCTTATTTTCCCTTAATATCTTTCTGTGCTAGCTTTTATTGTTTTGAACAATGACTGAAAACTTGTATTACGGGCATTGCCATCTTATGATTCTTATGATCATTATCACTTGTTGTTTTCCTCAACTGTAAGTCACTTTGGATAAAAGCATCTGCCAAATGAATAGATGCAAATGTAAATGTAACTGGCTCATAGATTTTTTTTTTTTTATTATTATGTCAAACTTTGAATGTGATAAACATTTATAGTAGCATTGTGTTGGATTACTGTTGGAGTGTATTTTATCTTTTGTGCATTTAGCATCACATAGTGTAGAATTAAAGAGCAGTGCATAAAGTTTGAAATTACATAAAGTGCTAATTATCAGAGTTAATTATGCATAATGTCTTAACCCACATGGCAAAAGTATATTTTATGCTATCTGAGAACACTTACCTGACATGAAATATCTCCCTCTTTAGAAGGGTCTGTGTGTGATGGGATATGCCTTGGAAAACAAAGGTAAGTTCGAAGCATTTTTGAATCCAACTCTATTCATACTGTACAATCCAAAATATTTATCTGTAAAATAACTGAAATCAATAAAAAAATTATTTTAACCAACTCCTGAAGTTAAAAAAATACTCATTAATTAACATTAACCCAGAATTCTGCAATGTTACAACAATTTAAGACTGTAAGTTCATGATAACAAATTAGTTCATTTAAATGCATATAAGCATTTTACGAAGTAGCATTAAATAATTTAAAAGAGTTACTATTACCTTAATTGTTAGCTTCTAGTCATATACTGAGTAAATATACAGTTTTATGAATGTTAGAGATCCCTATTTATGAGTGTCATTTAAGCACACTCCTGTGCCCTAACCTGCCTGTACTTTTGACTATATAAATGTCTGCAGACAATGCCAAACTATTATGGTGTCATGTACACTTCTCATATGAACTTTTTTTTTTTCTGTGAGAAACAAATCAAAACTTATTTACTGATTATCTTGCCTACCATTCTTGAGTCAAATCCTGTTCAAACTTCTGAACATTCAACACTGAATAAACTGCTTTGTGTGGGTTTGTTTATCTTGAAGCTAATCCTGCTGTTTGCCTATGACATATTTATGTGTAGTCAGTAGGAATTGTTGTGATGGGTAGGAATCATTTACGCCACTTCTAGGTCTCTGTCAATGGTAACTGATTGTTGTGAAACATCCAGGTCTTTTTATGATTGGCTTACAGTACAAGTTGCATTGGATAAGTTGAGTCATACTCCACCAATGTCACAAATCTCCTGCTTTGGTGTTATCATTACTGCACCAAATTTGAACAGACTGAAGGCAAGATTTTCAATGAGTGACCTGTACCTAACAATTTTATGGCTTTAGAAGACTGAATGTATTGAGAGACTATTTTATGGTGATTTTTTTCTTCTTTTGTTCTTTTGGAAGATTGAACATCTACTTGTTTTTTAGTGTATTGGAAAAAAAAACATTTATCAAAGGCAAAAGTCAAACTAGATTCAAAAGTCACATATTTCCAAGTTAATATTACAATAATTAGTTTTTAATTATTCTTTTGCTTATTTTATTCATTTTCAGGCTTGATAACTACCCTGTATGAAGTCTTCATGGAGAAAATCTGAGACTAAATGTTTTTGTACTTCTCCCAAATATATCCTGTTTATATATATGCACATATATCACAGAACATGGTGTGACATTAGCAGACTTGAAATAATGAACAAGTGCATTTATTACTGTAATGTTTTAACCATTTAATAACATTACAAGCAACATTGTGTACATGTGAGGTGACCAAGGATTTGCCCCATGCCATGAATATGTGTATTCTTTTAAGCCAAAGAATAGGCCAAGCACTTGTGTTGTTCACTTATTGATCTTTATCAAATTGATAGTTTCTTGGTCTTGGCTTCTGATTTGTCAATACAATGCTTAAATCCACAATATTTTCACAACTATGAGCCACAAGACTTGTATTTAATGGATTTACTTAATAAAATAGTAATTGTTAAGGCACTCTAATGTATATTTTATTCATTCTGACACCACATTTTTTTTATAACAGTAAAAGTTCCTTATTAACTTTCTTCTTCGTTTTTATTATTATTATAATATTAAATTTAACAAAAAAAGTTTGTATTATTACAAGAAAGTTTCTCATTATTAGCTGTTAAGTCATTATAACGTTATTAATATTCATAATTAAGTTTCTCGTTATTATGAATCATATAGGGTATATGTTGAACATCACCTGACCAAACCCGGAAAACAGGTCTCATTGCTTCCGCTTGTCGGAGAACGTGTTAACAGCCGTATTAAATAATAGCGATATCTATGGACTTTTAAGATAATCAGTTAAACTAGCTAGCTGTTTTTATTGTTGACGTTTTATTCAATTTTTATATCTAAATGTGAAAAGAATAAAAATAAAAAAAACTTTTAGATATCAGTCCGCATATGTGATGGACATTGGTTATGATCATCATTGGTATCTACTTTGAAGGCATCTGAGTAAAACTGCTTCATATTTAAAGGGGTCATATGATGCGATTTCAAGTTTTCCTTTCTCTTTGGAGTGTTACAAGCTGATTGTGCATAGATAAGATCCCTGAAGTTGCAAAGACTAAAGTCTCAAAACCAAAGAGATATTCTTTATCAAAGTTAAGACTCTGCCACGCCCCCCTAAAACGGCTCATTCTAACACGCCCCCACATATCTACCCCACTATGTGGAAATATTTGCATAATCCCGCCGCAAATGTGCACGCAAAGAAAGAAGGCATGGTGTCAGTAACCGCAGTTAGTGTTGAAGCAGCATGTCAGGGAGACACTGTGTGTTTCAGTGCAAAAGCAAAAGCACTTTATTTTGCCTTCCAGAAGTAATTACCAAAAATCACAGTTCTGTCTCTCCAACTCAATGTATTTCAATTGCCCGCTATGAACTTCCTGGAACTAGTTGAGGTCTACGTGAATCACGTGACGATCGAGCGTTTTGGACTTCCGTTGACGCAACTATATGGCTCTGTAAAGTTCTAAAGTGACGTTTCAGAATCAGTAACGGAAGCGTCCCACCCTCTTTCAACATCACCCTGTAACGCCCTCCTCAGACGGAAATTTACTTCATGAGAAGCAAGTGTTGATCTCCACCCTCATCCATTCCTGGAAGTTATACTGGCCTGTATATGCCTCAATCTGAATCGAGCACTGAACACCGAAAATCCTTCTAAAACACCCGAAGGTAAGGTTGATTAAAACATTGAATTTTCGCTTCTCAGTGTATTACTATAGTAACGTTACCACAAGGACCTCGCCATTATTATGAGACATTATCCAAAAAAAGAAAGAAAGAAAAAAGATATGACTACGTAATTTTATTTTATATGATATTTGTTATTTCACAATTATATTTTACGTGTGTGGAGTTAGATTAGGGTTTCTGTTTTTGACTATTAAATTAACATAAGGAAGCGCACAGTGACCATTACGCCATTCCTGCGCGCTGCGTAACGTTGCCACTACTTTCTTTTATCGTAACGAATAGCCTTATAAGAACATTAAATGAAGCTTCGTTGATTAGCTAAACCGATTTTTATACATTCGTTCTAAGCATGTTGTCTAGTAATGTGACATGTTAATAATTTATACCCCATCTTGATTGTTATGCTAGCGGCTAACAGGTTTTGCTAATGTGAATCTTTCTTACATCTTTTTTTTTTTTTGTACTTAATGTGTTGACGTTTAGTTATTCAAAAGTACATGTTTTAAAAGTGCATTTCCTTACGCTAAGATGTCTTTATATTTATCCGTAGCGGGAAAAAAACATTGGCCTTGTTTGGAGCTGTAATTCACCGACATAAACAAGATGGGATGTAAGGTGCTGTGTCCCAGTGTTGCTCTTCTTGCTTATCTTATGATCTGTCAACATGTCCGAGGTGAGTATCTATTTATAAAGAATTTGAACTACGATTAATAATTACACCTAAAATTGTGGCTTTTGGTCTCTGTGCGTTAGCTGTAAGATCATTTCATGCTAGTGTAAAAAAATTAACCTTCATGATCAGATATACAGAAAAAGAAACTGTAAAATGTACATTTACAGTCTCCTTGTCTTCCGGCAATACCATACAAAAATATTTATGACACATAAACAGGGTTGCCAGATATTACTAGGGGGAAAAGCCCATATTAAGCCACTTAAGTTTTTTGTTTGTCCAGGAAACGGGCATGAAGAGTATATCGAATTTTTTCCTACACCCCATGACGCTTTCAGTGAATTGTGGGAGTAACTTCCACAGAAGTGTAAATAATCAGATACAACCAATAAACTTGTTTAATGGTTAACTCTAATAATGCCACATATAAGCAAAACCTGGTACAACGCAAGAAAATGGATAAGGTTATGTTTTAAATATTTAAAATGGGAGATTCTTAGTGCATTACAGTGAATTATTCATGAGATATTGTTCATTAAATCAGGACAGCAGACCACAAGACAAGAGCACAGTGTCTTTTTTTGTCTTTTTCATATTGTTACAGTGGAAAAATAAAAGAAAATAATCAATGACCAAATATAAGAATAGAATGGAGCAGAAGTTATACTAACAATAAGAATGATGATGATCAAAATAGTACTGCATCAGATATGCATATGTTTTGTGTTTATTTCCACAGCGCAATGCACACAGCCTTCATTTACGTCAAGAAATGTCATTTTAACAGCAGAGCATCTCTCGACTCCTAGTTTCTCAGATGGATCCACTGTAACATTTGAGTGTGTGATTGGACACAAGCCAGTTGACTTAAAAGCATCTAAATCAGTTACCTGTCAGGGAAACCAGTGGACAAATCTGGAACTCAATTGCGCAAGTATGTACTGTCGTTAAATATGTTAAGTACCCTACATTTGTAAATTCCTCTAAAATGCCTTTTGTCTAATTTAGATATGTGAAAAGATGTATGTTATAGGTCAACAAGTCATTAAATAGCTTAATCATTAAATAGCTCATAGTGGTTTTGCCACTGACAGCAGGAAGCATCACAGTATCACACATTTCCTCTTAAAATAAATCCCTGTATCATGTAAAGAAGCAACACTAAAGATTATTTTTCATTATTTTCAACAGTATTTAAAGAGCACCAATTCTAAATCAGTCAATATCTTGAATACATTACAGGAAAATCCTGTGGAAGCCTTGCGGATTTTCTTAATGGGAGATATGAAATGACTGGAAATTTATTTGGTGACACCGCTAAACCAGTTTGTGTCAAAGGGTTTGTGAAAGTCACTTTCTTTGTGGTGGATTAAGTGTGTTTTAAACCATATGGAATTTAGGTTGTGAGCTGTGTTTGAGTATTTGGTAAGAGGAAAATCATTGCTTTCAGATACATGTTAGCGGGTCAGGAAACAACAAGAACATGCAGAGATCAGGGATGGGATGGCCGAGATCCTGTCTGTGAACGTATGTCAGTTCTTACATTTGAATCAAATATGATATTGAAGAGCACAAAACAATTACCAATTTGTATTAAAAGATGATTTTTTTGGGGGCCTTTTTTTTTTTTAAATAAATACCTATTCACCTGGATATGTTTTTCTCTTTAGCTGTAAAATGTTCAGCACCTCCAGTCATAGAAAATGGGCAACTTGAAGATGAGCCTTTTGAGAGTTATGATTATTTACAAGCAGTCTCCTATAGATGCAACAAAGGACTTAATCTTATTGGACAATCAACACTTCATTGTTCTGAGGATGGAACATTTAAACCAGATCCACCAAAATGTTTTGGTAAGTTATGGTTCAAATGCCAGTCAAGAGATGAAGAAAAAAATCACTTGGGAGTTGATTCCGGTTAATGAATAAAATATTTAATGATCAATACTCTTCTTTTACATAAACATTTTTCTTTTCTTTTTTTCCCAGGTGGGTGTCCAGCGCCTACAATTCCTAATGCAAAAAGAATTGGTGGAAAATCACCCCCCTACAAACTGGGTAACTTTGTAGAATACAAATGTGAAGATGGCTATGTAATGAAAGGAGAAAGTTATATTTTGTGTAGTGCAAATGGATGGGACCCTGAACCACCAAGGTGCATTGGTAAGACTGAAATGATTTCTTTTATTAATGCATGACTGTATTCTGTAAAGGAACAGTTTACCCAAAGTGAAAGTTGTCATATATGTATATATATATATATATATACAGTGGTGT